TGCATACATGCAAATAAACATGTACATCAAACGAATTTTTCAAATATTAAGATGTGGAGCTTGGTAGGAAGACATTCGATCACGGAAGGCGGGGCCTCATCTGAGACTTGTCTTCATTACTAATATGGCTGGGCTTGGAGTCACCTAGGTTTTGCGACTCTACTGTGAGATGTTTCTAAAGAGGTTTAGCTGAGATGGGAAAATCCATCCACCCACACATACAGTGAGTGTAGTGGTCTCATTCCATAAGCTTAGTCCAGGGCCCTCCTTTCTCTCTGCCTCTCCCACACACCCCTCTCTGTTTCTCTCTGTCTCTCTGTGTGTGTCTCTCTCTGTCTCTCTGTCTCTGTCTGTCTCTCTCTGTGTGTGTGTGTGTGTGCCCATGCGTGTGCATTTCCCAACTGTCTCCAGGTAACCAGGCCTCCTCCTCCACCACGTTCTTCCTCTGTATATACTGTTGGAAAGACAGGCCCAGAGCCACAGGACCAAGTTACCATGGACTGTAATCTCTGAACCAAAATCCAAAACAAACCCCTCCTCTTTGCTAAGTTACGTAGCTGAGATAATTTGCCACAGTGGTAGAAAGCTAGCACAGGTTTACAGAAAGAAGAGGCGAGCAAGCTGTTGCAGTGTGCATCTGTCATCTCAGGGTGTGGCAGGCTGAAGCAGGAGGATGATAAATGTGAAGCCAGCCTGAGTTGCATGGTGAGCCATCTCCAGACACCAAAACAGACAAAGAGAAGGGCAGAAATGCTTTTAATGTAGATTAAACCACAGGGAACTTGGATGTCAGAAGAGGCAATGGCCATGCCCCTGGGCAGCACAGGAATGGGTGTGTGCTATCCTGACCAAGGCCCCTGCCATAGGCTGTTTCCACCCATCTTTCAGGAGGAGTAGCTTCTGTGTGCTGAGTCTTCATTGATCCCTTATTATTTTAATCTCATGTGCATTCTGACCCAACCTTAACCTAACCCACTGAAGGGCCACTCTGGGTCCTACCTGTGACTTGTCCCTCAGCATTCCATCCCAGCAACTATGCCGTGAGTCTCACAAAAGCCTGGGCACCAATGTCTAGAGAGAGGGGGGTGAGTGCGGCTGTAAATAGCATCTGTGGGGCAACTGTGGTGGTGTACACCTTTAATCTCAGCACTGGGGAGGCAGAGGAAGGCATATCTTTGTGAGTTCAAGGCCAGCCTGGTCTACGTATCAATTTCCAGAACAGCTAGAGCTATGTAGTGAAACTCTACATCCAAAAACAAAATCAAAACAAACGGAAGCAGTAAGATCATCTCTGTGATGGTAAAAATATCTCTGTGTCTACACATGGGTGAAGAGGACCTGGCACCTCTCTCTGAACTTATGATTATTTAGAGTTTAAAGGAGAAGGCTGGCAAGAGGGCTCAGTAAGAAATGGTGCTTGCCACCAAGCTGAAAACCTGAGTTCAATCCCCAGCACCCACCTGGTGGAAAAAGAGAACTGAGTCCCACAAATTGTCCTCTGACCTCCACATGCATGTTGTGATGTGGGGGGAGGGGGTGAGTGTGTGGGTGTGCGCACGCACACGTGCACGCTCATCAATACACAAATGTTACAGTTTAAAAAAAAACATAGAGTTTATAGGTAGAAGTGGAGGCATCTGGGTTGTTTCTTTTGAACTATTAGAAAGACGGTTGCTATGAACCATCTGTTATGGGTTTTTATATGGACACTAATTCTTATTTTCTGGAAAACATGTGAACAACCTAGAGAAACTTCTGTGTTCTCCACTATTAAAACATGACTCTGGTGCTCTGTATCAGATGGCAGAGCTTTGTGACTCCTCTGATAGCCCGTGGTTAGGTGGGTCAGTAAATACTTGTCGGGGTAGGACATGGGATACTTCCCTTTAAGCTAGGCATTTCTGAGGCAGAAACAGGCAGACACTCCAGGCCAGCTTGGTCTACATACGGATTTCCAGGTCAGCCAGAGCTACACAGTGAGACCTATCTTTTAAAAAAAAATATGCTTGTGGAGGTAACGACCCTGGTGTTAGGAAGACATAGTTCTAGGGTGATCTGTACCCAGATCTTTGCAGAATTTTTGCATCTCTTTCCTGAGACACCTGTTTGGGCAGCTAGGAAGGAGCCTGACAGAGGCAATGTCATTAGTGACCACTGGGAGGCAGCAGAGGACGGAGAATGGTTCCCAGCTCTCGCTGGAGATGACACCAAGCAGGGATCTCTGGACCCTGCAATAAAAGAAAACTTTAGGGAGATTGTTTCGTCTGCTCACCGCCTTCGAGGTTGTAGAATCGCCCCTGCTCATCCTTTCATCAAGCATCTTGCTTGTCAGAACTTCAGAGATGACGTTACCTCGGGAGCCTGATCTCGAGTTACTCTGATGCCAAACACCTGGCACCTAGCGGGAAAGCATAAGCCTGTTTCTGCGCCCCCTGCCGCCCTGGCACAGCTCTGCATCTGGTGCGAACTCCTGGTGCAGCGTTCCTCGTGGCCGCTAGGGGGCCGTGTGGGACCACCTGCCAGGAGCATCCAGTCCTCTGAAAACAGCCTGGATGTCATCTCCTTACGCTGTGTGTGTGTGTGTGTGTGTGTGTGTGTGTGTGTGTGTGTGTGTG